ACATTTATTTATTTTTGGGACAGAGAGAGACAGAGCATGAACAGGGGAGGGGCAGAGAGAGAGGAAGACACAGAATCGGAAACAGGCTCCAGGCTCTGAGCCATCAGCCCAGAGCCTGACGCGGGGCTCGAACTCACGGACCGCGAGATCGTGACCTGGCTGAAGTCGGACGCATAACCGACTGCGCCACCCAGGCGCCCCTGGCTGATTTTTTTTTAATGCCTATTTCTGCCATCCTCCCCCAGCCTCGAGTCCCTCTCCGTTCCTATTCCAGGAGCCTGAGGATGTGGCACAAGGACCATAGCTCTCTGTTCCTTCCAGGATTTGAATGCCAGCTCCTCACTCGGCAGCCAGCCGTGTGTCTCTGGACAAATTACTTAACCTCCCTGAGCTTCATCTGTAAAATGGAGATAGCTGTAAAAGAGGTTGTTAAGAGGATTAAATGAGATGACCCGTATAAAGGCGGTTAGCAATTAGCACTCTGCCTAGCAGGTAGTATTCCCTGGATAAATGTGAGCCATTATCATAAAACATTTGTGTAGTGCCTCCTACACTAGATGCTTGGCCTTCGAGGAGCTCTAGTGTGGGACACGGACAGATCTGTAAACGAAAGGTTACAGTACAATGGGTAGGAACTGTAATGGAATTAATACGGACGCAGCGCTGTCGATGCAGAGAGGGAGGGATGGGTGGTCAAGGCCGGGACACATTTGAGTTTGAGATCTGGAAAGGACTGAAAAGGTATTCCAGGAAAAAGAAACACAAGGTTCACGCAGAAGCAGTTAAGAGGAGACTGTGGCCCCATTTTATGCTGGGAGCTACACCGAGTTTTCACACCTGGAGACCGCTCAAAGTTGCACACAGGGTGGCAACAGACTTAGAGCTGTAATTTAGAAAGCTGACGCTGGCAGATATGTGCAATGCACTTGGGGCAGCAAGACTATAGAGCACGAGTGAGCAGCTGTTCACAGGAATACAGATATAGATGCAGAATACAGAGATAGACATGCTCATGACAGCAGGGAAAGTACAGGATCCCCACGGCCACAATTAGGGTTTAGAAGAATCTGGGCAAATGACTTGAGAGATTGATTCAGTACAGAGAACTCCATACCTCTACCTCGCTTGGCACATTCTGCTTCCTTTGTGTTGAATGCTCTTCCCCCACTTGCCATTCAACATTCAGCTCAAGCCACCTCCTCTGGTAAGCCACTTCATATTGAATCCCTTTACAGACTGGATTAGCACCCCCACCCCCACCCCCCACCGTGCTCCTAGAGTCCCTTCTCGGTCCCCTATCACAGCACTTGGCATTCCTTTGTCATTGTTTCCTGGTTCCTCCCACTGGTGGTGAATTCGGTGAGGTCAAGGCCCAGCCTTGATCACCTTTGCACCCACAGTGGTGTCAATAACTGCTGAATGAATCAATGCAAACAAAAAACTTTAGCCAGTATAGACAAAAGCTGGAGGAACCACCAGAAAAAGACGGGTCTCCCGGAACTCAGGCCCTGGGGCCACATGCATCCTTTGTACTCCAGTTCTGGCCCGGAGTCGCCGCCTAGAAATTCTGGGCCTTCCAGGAACTTGAAGCCTGGTGCAGAGAAGAGCCTCGGGTCCCAAAGCACAAACATAAACCTCCGCCGACTCCTGGCTGAGCCCCTACCCCTCGTCCCAGACTTTGCCTGTCCATCCGCTGCAGTCCCGATCCCCGCCAGGTGGCGACGCACGTGAGAACGCACGCGCAGTGAGCGCGCGAGCCATACTTTGCCCTTCTCCCAATGGCGGGTGGCGGTCCCCTTCCCGGCATCCTCGAGGGGGGCAAAGCGCGCGTCATTTCCGGTGGGGAAGGCCCGCGGCCGCCGCCGCCATTTCAGGCGCTGCTGTGAGGCTGAGACCGGAGCCGGTCCGCTGGGCGGCGGGCGCCGGGGCAAGAGGGGCGCGCGCGCGGCGGCGGCGGCGGCGGCCCAGCGTATAGGCGCGGAGGCGGCCATGGCGGGCAACTTCGACTCGGAGGAGCGGAGTAGCTGGTACTGGGGGCGGCTGAGCCGGCAGGAGGCGGTGGCGCTGTTGCAGGGCCAGCGGCACGGGGTGTTTCTGGTGCGGGACTCGAGCACCAGCCCCGGGGACTATGTGCTCAGCGTCTCCGAGAACTCGCGCGTCTCCCACTACATCATCAACAGCAGCGGCCCGCGCCCGCCCGTGCCACCGTCGCCCGCCCAGCCTCCGCCCGGTGAGGACAGACGGGACGGGAGGCCCGGGGCGGGGGTGAGGGCCGCCGAACTCCCCAGCCTGGCTGGCTGCTCCTCGCGAGCTGACCTCCACGAGGGACACGGGCAGAGGGCTGGAGCGACCATGGCAGGGGGGCAGCCTGGTGCCCGGGCTCGTTCCCACCGACCAGCGGGCGTGTGTTGGGGGGTGGGGAGAGGAGGAGCCGCTGACCCAGGCCTCTGGGTGTGACTTGGGAGGACAGCCCGGGGGAAGGGGAACTGCTTCGGCCCCAGGGTGGGGCTAGCGGCGGGGCCAGGCACAAGGGCAGGGCCGGGCAACGTGGGGACAAAGAGCTGAGGGGGATGTTGGCACTGCGGGGGCATCACTTGGCACCGGTTCCCAGAATGAATCCGATAATCCTACAAGTGGCTTTTTAGGCTTGAAACATTTCCTGTAGTGTTAGAGAGCCGGGTTTGGTTTGGAGAGCTATTCTCCCCTGCTGGCCTTTGGTAGGAAGTCACCACATACTAGCCGGGAGGGATGGAGACACCCTCAGGAAACCGGTCAGCTTTTTCCTTTCTTGGGCATTTTTCCAAAATACTTTTACTGCCCTCTTCCCCCACAAAGGACGAAGGTGGTGAGCTAAGTGCCTTGGTGATAGAAGTAAGTCCTCTGTGATCAGCCCAGAACAAGTTGATGCCCAGCTGATAGTGTCCGAGAGATCTTAGCGTCCAGAGACTGTTCTCCACAATTACGGGTTCTAGTTTTCAAGGTATTTGGGGGAGGACATTCCCCCCCCTCCCCCCAGGAAATAAGCCAGTGGAAACCATCTTTTCCTTCAAAGTGAATGGACCTTGCAATTTCATTGGACTTAAACATTGTCAGTCTTGTAAGTCAGGGCCTCTCCTTTCTCAGTGACTTGGGGGCTGTGACCTAGGTTTTCCTTAGCAAGGATCATTGAGACGTGACTGTCTTATCAATGTCTTTGGAGAATGTTAACGAGATTTATGCACTTAGTACTTGAGATTTGTGAGGTGCAGAGTAATTCTGAGGTTACTATCCTCTTACCATCATCTGTGTCACAGCACGGAGAGGCTTCGTCTTTCTCATTGTTCCCAAATTGAAGCAGTTTCCTCCCGACCAGTTGAGGCAAGCTCTGGGCCAGTCTCAGTCAATTAGGAAGCTCCTGAGCCAGGCTTTGCAGACTTGCAAATTAGGTAGTCCTAATTTAGATTTATTCACTCTGGCCAGAAATGGGGACATAGGATAGTCCGTCTCTTTGTTGCTAACACATACCAATGCCTAAGTCTTTCTCAGTCTCTTTGGTTTAATAGCATAACATGAGACAGGAATGTTGATGTAACATAAATTTGCCCTAAACCAGATATATTCTACCTTTTACCACCTTCTTGGTATCTAGGTTTTTGCATTACAATGCAGTAATATGATGTCAAACTGGCACCAGAGCTTAATTTTCAACCTTTTTGTTTGCGTATCTGTTTTGCAAAATTTGGGAATGGCAGCAGGAAGGTTTGTTAGTTTGAGCTTTCTCCACACCTTGGTGTTATGACTTTGTATCTCTGCACTTACCTTGATATTGAGCTCCACCTTGTCATAACAGATACGAGTTCACATGCTTGTCCCAAGAGAGAAGGTGAAGATTGCCAAGGTTTGTAGATGGGGTGTGGAACATTCATGGGCATTGTGGTAATTCTTGTTTCTGGTAACGTGCCCACTTTTTCCACGTAGAGCAATTGATTGAGTTGCTGTCTTCATAAAGATTACTTAATCTTTGTTCTCCCCTTCCCCCATCAAGCTATTTTCTTTTGAAACTACACAGGAATTCTTGAGTTTTAGAAAAGCATGCACGGTATTAGCTAACATTTATTGACTGGTTATTCTATGCCAAGTACTTTGCTGAGTACTTTCTGTGCTTTATTTCATTCTCTGTCTGTAACAATCTGGGGAGAAAGTACTATGATTTCTATTTATTAAAGTGTTTTCATTTTAACAAAAAAATATTTTTTTTTCCATTTTATAGCTGAGGAAACAGAGTTAAAGATTCAGTAATTTGCCCAAGGTCACATAACTAGTAAATGACTGAGCCAGAATTTGAACCTTCGAATTCTGACCAGAGAGCTTACATTATTATACTATACTTCTTTCTCTTTCCTTTTAAGATCTCAACCATGCACATAGAGGATTCAACACTTCTGTCTCTGTCCTGGGGTTACAGGTTCTATTTAAAGACCAAAAGGAAAGGATGACAAGAAGAAACTAGCTTTAGCATTTAGATAATACACGTCTGCCATCTAAAAGTCAATGATGAAGCTTTAAAAATCCTTATTTGGTAATTTGAACATGAAAAATGAGATTTTTACGTAGGATTATATAGCATATTTTCTGGACATAATACATAGGTAGAAATTGTATAGAATGCCTTAGTTTTTAGAGTCATAGGGATAGGATGGAACAGGTATTCTCAACCTTTTCCCGTGAACCTATTTTTAACTTAGCTGTTCAGCCTCCATAGGCTGCCGTAGTCTGGGAGCAACCTGCCTTATGCCTCAGGGCCATAAGGCAAGGTTTGGTCAGGTCTGCTGGTCATACCTGGTCAGGTTAGACTTCAAGGTTGACCTCTTGGGAAGGCTTTGCGATCACTGATTCACACGTTTCTTCTTCAGACAATGAGGTATTACTAGACCTTGATCGGTAGACAGTCAACAAAACGGAGTAAGTGTGACCTGGGAGAGTAGTTATAAGTTTGAGCTCTGGAGCTTGGATTTGAATCTTTCTTACCTGCCACTTACTACTTATATAACTTTGGTCAAGTTCTTTAACTTCTGTCTGTTTCCCCATCTGTAAAGAAGGGGGGAAATAGTAATACCTCATAGAGTATGATACCTCACTATGTTGTGAGGATTAAATGAGTTTACTATATTAAATACTTATGAATGGGGCCAACATATGGTAAGTACTCAGTAAGTATTAGATATATTAGTCTTATGAGGTTGGGAGAGCAGGACTTGGAGCCAAATTGAAAACTCTCAGCTTTGAGAGGCTCACAGGTAGGCACAGTGTGGATTGGTGGACACTGGCAGGTGCCTGGGTGGAGGGGAATGGGGTGCATCAAGAAGTGTGAAAAGGACCTTGGATCCAGGACGTGGAAATAAAGAAGACACCTGTTGTTACCTGCTTAACTCAGAGCCTTCTACCTGTTGCTCTAGTGGATGAAGGGAGCATAAAAGCTTGCCTCCTTTTGAGGGGGGAGGGGCAGAAGCTAAGGTGGTTATTGTTTGTGCTGCCTCTTCAACATGGTGTTGCACTAAGCCACTTTAGAGATCTTGTGGGACTGCTCATCACCCACTGCTCCTTTTTTTGTTCATCCACCATCAATGTTTCATTTGTTTACCTGGTCTTTGCGGTTCTGAAACCTGGTCCTCAGGTTTTATTCGTCAGTTACAGAGCATCCATCCATCCAGTGGTTCTGGGGGGAAGTTCTTCAGTGAGTTACTTCCACGTTTTACAAGAAAAGGATTCCATGGTAAAAGGAAGTAGGTTTATTTACTAGAGGACTTCTCTAAGCCTTTACTATGCTTATGTGAAATTAGTAGGTATTGGATACTGGGTTTTTCAAACATATTTGACCACAAGACTTTTTGAGAAGCATTTGAGATTCTGTAGAACCTTTTCTGGGAAACAGTATAGTGGACTTTGGGTTTGGGATTAATTGGAAATTTCTAAAGGAATTCAGAAGTTTGGGCAGGGTATTAAGCTGAATTTGCTTTTTATTAAGCACCTGTAAGGTACCAGCTACTTTTAGGAACTTTGTTGTAATAAAGTAGGTGTTTGGCCCCATGAGAAGTTAAATAACAGCTCATACAGCTAGTAAATGGCAGAGCCAGAATTCATCAAACCCAATCAGTCTGAGTCTGCAAAGTACCAGGCTGATAGCTAATAGCTACCATTTTTAGAAAGTTCTGTTTGCTTAGGAGACCAGACATTTGATACCTCTTTAGGAAACCTTCTCAGATGGAAGTCAGCAGCCTTTTTATCCCTTTGTATTAGACAGGTGGTGGGGTGTGTGTAAGCAATTTCTATAAATACCATAAGCAGAAGAGAAGGAGTGGGAATTAAGGAAAGGGAAAGGGAAAAAGGAAGTGCTGTGAGATCAAGGAGAGGATGATAATGGAGCTGCTGAGGTGGTACCCACGTCAGAAGTGACCTTGCCTGTCATAGCCCACAGAGCTCTTGGGTGTCCATATAACCTTCAGGGAGTCGTGTTGTAAAAACTGATGTAACCCAAGGGCTAAAATGCTTAGAAGTAATGAGTTGAGCATGTACAGAAACCAAAAGAATATCTAATTGCTTGCATTGATTGTGATTTCTGAACGTGTGTGTGCATAACTGCATGTTCAGAATACCAGCGCAGGTTTAGGTAGAACAAATCAGTGAGGTTTTCCAAGCTCCAGCAATGAGAACCTTTTCATTGGTTCTTTTCTCTAGACTGACTGTATCTCCTTCCTTTCCCGCCCTTCTATTTCCTGCCTTTGGCTCTTTGTGGTTGGAAGGAGATGGACTAGGGAAAAGGAACCAGAACACACAGCTGTAATGAGGTTTGGGCTTATCTGAAACTTACCTTTGTTCTCTTCCCTTCCCTTCCCTTCCTCTGGAGTTTGGATCGATGAAACTTGATAGTCTATATAATCTGATTGCTTCAGCAGTACACAAAAACAGGCATTCTTCTTGTGGTATTATTATAGTGTCATTAGAAGACAAAAAAATTTATGAGTAAGGAATATCTAAGATTTCCTTTGGTGTTTTGCTTATATTTCTGTGACTGCTGGGGTTGCCAAGCCAAGCCAAGAAAGAAGTCATAGTGGGCCCACTTTACACCATGTAGCAATTGAAGAAGAAATGAACAGCTTCCTACCTTTATGTTTATGGCAGAGGAGCTGCCAGTTTTTCCTTTTAGAATTCTCCCAGCGATCTTTCTAAGGGAATTGGTTTTGTGGTCTTGTT